AAGGGAACTTTTGTGACGCCCATAGGGAACTTTAAGGACGTTCATAGGGAACTTTTGTGACGAGACTGGGGAACATTTGTGACATTAGGGAACTTTTGTGACGACATTGGGGAACTTTAGCGACTTGAATAGGGAATTTTCGTGACTTTAACTGGGGAACGTCGATGATGTTATCATTGTACTATGTATTTATATCTCGTACATCTTTCTTTTTAGCTCTGTTGCTTTTGTAAAGTACTTAAAACATATCAGGATAGGCGCAAGAGGAATATATATTATTATTATGTTCATTTCTGGAAGTTAATTTTCGGCAAAACATTACTTTCAGTACAATAGAAGCAACAGGTATTTTCCCTGTTGATTATCATCATTTCTCAGTTGTTGCTAAACACTGACGAGTCTCTTTTATTTAACAATCCAACATTTTATTTAACCAGGCGCTCATTATCAAACATCACTACATCAAATTTAAAAGGCTGTGCAGCCACTCAGTTCAACACAATAAGGCCTGTGCACTGTAACAGTATTAAAACATACAACGCTACCGTTTCATGATAACAGAACAGGCAAAAACAAGATGTATATTTATCATGACAACACACTATTAATTAATCAATATATTGCTAATTATCAAGAAGGGTATTAAATTTGAACTTTGCCTGATTCTATCAGGTGCATAAACATGGAGACAAGACAAACAATAAGCCACTACCAATCTATTAAAATTCAGCTTGATAGTGAGGCCTAGAGGACGCAAGCAAAAGCTATGAACAAACATGGTGATTTCATTTTATTTGTATCGGTCCTTTAGGCCGCGCTCTCAAGCTGAATTTTAACATATCCGACAAGTGGTCTATTAGTTCCGTTGTCCACTCAACAATAACTTGAATTAGTAACAGTACTTGGACTGAGTGAAGTACAATTCAGGGAGTAATCGCGGGAGTACATGTCATTTCAAAATTGGATGAGCGCAAAATGCGAGGCCGCGTTCAAAATATGAGCACGATTACTCCTTGACTAATTGTATGCCACGAAGTCCAATTACTAATTAATCGTATCTATAACAAATTTCGAAATTATAAATTTCTTGCGAGAACTTCTTTAAAATAGTCTGTAGCATTTTTCATAAGTCATGAGAAATCTAGGAAATACTGCGACGGAAGCCATTAGAGCGCGCGTAATTGACGTGCAAATCACGTGGGTATCCCATTACAGGCACCCAATTACGAAAAGTTCAAATTAGATACCTGTTATTGGATACCCACGTGATTACGCGCCGATTACATGACAAATAAGCGCGCAGAGAGCTAATCAAGATCAATGATATTGTTATAGATACCATTAGTTAGTATAAATCGTATGAGAAACGTGTACTTAATCTCCAGCAAATCTCAGGACGCTTGATATAATTCTTTTACGAACGCAAACAATGCTGTAACACTTTTACTCCGAAGGAAAAATTTAACAATGCATTACAACGAAACTAACTCCCCCAGAGGTGGGTACTCGGTTGAAGTTAAAGCTGTACAAGAGCACAGGATATATATCTAAATATATAGAAAATCTTGAGATAAAAAAGAGATCTTAAATACAAAATCTAACACTAACAATTTGATTGTAATCAACAAACAACTCTCATGTTGAGCTGTCTTAGGCGCTCTTAAAACGCATTTGTCTTATTTCACGCGATTAATAGTTGGTATGTTAATTTCCGCAATACAAAACAAGAGGTGATTTAGCATGTAAAATGCAGATCTAACACCTATGTTAAGACTGCAATAAACTGTGAAGTTTTTGAAAACAACTCTGATATTAGTTAAGTTGTTAAGACCGTCTATGACAGTCCAACATTAGTGTTGAGTTGCCTTAGACGCTCTTGAAACGTCTTTCGTATTTACACGATTCATTATTGTGTCTGAGGATGCTTTTTGTACTTGTCCCTATCCTCCATTATTGTTCTGAAAAATTTCTTTCTTCCTGGATCTTGAGATGGGTACAGATATCGTTATCGATGCTTTAAACATAGCTCTCAATATGTCAAGATCCGAAGATGAAAGACTGCAATAAACTGAGAAGTTTTTGAAAACAACTCTAATTAGAGAGCGTCTAAGACAACTCAACATTAATGTTGAGTTGTCTTAGGCGCTCTTAAAACACGCCTTTCGTATTTCACAGGATTAATTATTCCGGGCTGTCCAAGTAAGCTTTTTGCAATAGTCCCTTTCCTCCATTTTCGTTCTGAGGAATTTCTTTGACCTTGGGTCTTGAGATAAGTACGGATGTCGTTATCAACACTTTAAACATAGTTAACAATTATTCACCGAAGTGGAGGTGAATAGTGATGGATATTTACCGAACCACGAAGCGGCAAGGCCGGTGAATATCCATCACTTTCACCGACACTAAGGTGAATAATTGTTTTAGTATATACCACACAAGCTGAAAAATTAGCGGACCAAAACGTTATTTTATGTGTGACAAACGGTCAGAAAATAAAAATCTCTCGCGCCGGTTGCTCGGAGGTGAATAGTGCTGGCTAATCACGTCCGAGTTAACCAATCAGAGCGCGCGAAAAGCACTATTTACTTGTGTGGTATATGCTAACTGTCAATATGTCAATATTGGAAGATGAAAGACTGCAATTAATTGTGAAGTTTTTGAAACCTCTCTAGAGTTTTTTTGAAGAGCGTCCAAGACAACTCAACATTAATGTTGAGTGTTCTTAGATGCTCTGAAAACGCGCCTTTCGTATTTCACACGATTTATTATCGTGTCCAAGGAAGCTTTTTGCATTAGTCCCTTTCCTCCATTTTCGTTCTCAAGAATTTCTTTGACCTTGGGTCGTGAGATGGGTATGGATGTCGTTATCATCACTTTAAACATAGCTCTCAATATGTCAAGATCCGAAGTTGAAAATAGGTTTCGAACGCCACTTGCCTCTGTCGTTGTGGTCGCTATATCCCACGGATTGTTTTGGACATCAAGAGATCTTTCCACTCTTTGTTCTAGAGTCTCTTGTTCATCGGGGAGGTTCACAGGCTCTGATTGTGTGGAGGAGGAATAACGCCACGTCCCTCGAACTTTGTCAAGAATCTTCTTTGGATCTTCGTCCTTTAACTCCATGTTATCCGCTATCTTTTCCCTCACCGTTGCCATCGTCACAGATTTACTCTTGATCTCCTCTTCAAACAGATCTCTGATTACCATTTCTTGATCTTTGCTCAAGGTACATTTAGAAGCTCCACCCTCGTCCACTGTGGAAATGCTTGGGCTTTCATCATCCCCGCGCATGACTTGACGCAGATGTTGGGAAGCCTTGACAGAGGATTTCGATTTTTCTCGCAATCGATAAAATCGCGTGGCAGTGGAAACATTATGGGCCATCAAATCCGCCAAATTTCCTCTTGCTTCATTGCTTTCGCTGCAGCTGTGCACGCTTGACACTGCTGATTTTCTGAATAATGTGGAGCTTGGCGCACCCTCGACTTCGGCCTTCTTCCATACGGACTTAATGGCTTTGTTGATTTGACTTGAAACCATAGCCTCTCCAGTGGACGTTATAAAGACACAATTGTCTGGCCCAGTGTTAGAAGCAGTGATTTTCAAACGCACTTCTCTGAGGAAGACGTCCATCCAGCTTTTCAATTTTGCAGAGAAAACAATTCTGGCGGGACCATGGGTGCTCACTGTCTTGTGATTCTTCACAAGAACAACAAATTCGTCACTTTCCTTTGTCATTCTGTCATATTCCGCTACTGTCATGTTCGCAAGAGCCCCCGCCCTATTAGCGTTGTCAATAGATATCTCAACTAGGAGAAAATCTCGAATCAAAGTATACTGAGCTTGGGTGATCTGGATGTTGTGCGCACCGGACAGTTGACCTAACAAGCATACAACATCTCTTGCAGCTTTGCTTGTTTCAAACCGCTTTATTTGATCTGGAGTGATCAAAGCATGGAAGTCTTCTTCCATCTTTTCCCATTGTCGTTTGGCGCAGTTCTGGCGAAATGATGATGACCACCGGCCGACCTTGTCTCTCAAAGAGATAACAGTTTCCTTAGAAATGGTTAGTCCAACTTGCCCAGTGAGGGAATAGGAGTAAAAGTGGCGTAGACTCATAAGATAACTCTGTGTTGTTTTGGGGTGGTATTCTTTCTTTGCATAGTCCTCGAGGAACTTTTGGTTAATAAGGCAGCCGTCAAACAAAGATGTCAAATTGCACTTGTCATCCACCACCTTCAAAAGCTTTGAAACTTGCTTCCCATGCTGATGGCTGGTTTTCTCATCAAGCTGACCTCCATCAGCCGATCTAAGCCAGGCTTCAAATTCAGTAATGACATCGTCAGCCAATTTTTGTGGATTTTCAAAGGAGCTTCCGTTTTCATCTGTCTCATCTTCAATCTTTTCAATCGCTTCAACTCTTACGTGTTCAATCTCCTCAACTCTTGTGTGAATACTTCTATGCTCACTTTCTTTCTCTTCGCTTTCGCTGTCGTCAAGAATTCTTATACGTTTATACTTCTTTGAACTTTTTCTAGGGACTTCTATTTCATCTTCACTCTCGACAAGCTCCTCAACAATCACAGGAGATTCACGCTTGTCTCTCCCAGAGCTACGCTGTCTTTCATGATAAGGTCGCCGTTGTGAATCACTGACGGGTCCTCGCACCCTTGACAATGCAGCCTTGTATTCGGTGGAATCTGGAAGTAGTTTGTGAACTTTCTTAAGATGAGGAGGCATTCTTTTTACAAGCGATGTACAACCATCCATTGGACAGTAATGATAATGGTGGTAATCCTTTCTTTTTCCATCTTCTTTCTCTGCCATATTTTCTTTTGTCGGTTTCTTTTTCTTTTTGGGCACTTTGCTTGGGCTTGAGTAACCGTAGGTCTTTCGTAGACCAAAGCGTACAAGGGCAGTGCGAGCATGCTCCTTGGTCCACCCATGAACGTCTACCAGATGGCGTGGAATACGAACCACTTCGGCATTACATTGCGGAATAGGACAAGGCCTCTTCTCTTGCTTGATCCTCACGCCACTGTGAGATACCTCCTCTTCTTTGGCATCCTGATTATGTGAAAAACATACATGTTCTTATTGAAGTTACAGTGTGACAGCATGGAGTACAATTTGCTCTAGCCACTTTGCGAACGTATTTACAAGTTATGCCCCCCTCAATCGACAAACTGTATAACTGATTTACGTTGGTATCAGAATCTGAGAAATCTGTAATATCAACATGTTGTGCAAAGATCTCACCTTGGCCGATTAAAAAATATATATCAAAGACAATTCAATTTTCATTTTACAACATATTGTTCGCATCGATTTTACCTCGTGTTTTATTAAGACAGAAACAATGTTGATTTTGACTTCTGCCCACATTAAGGGAAATAATTAGGATATTTCACGTGCAGGATACAAGGGACTATGCATACATTTCATAAATAAGTAAGCTCTTCGACTGCTTTACCTCGCTCTCAGCACCGGAGGACTCCGTTAAATCAGCATTCTGTTCTATGCTGCCACCCTGAATAAACCACAAAATATAAGAGTGCGTTAAATTCTAGTTTAACAACATGTCTGTCTAATTCATGTCATATTTTGAAAAACTCTGTTGTTCCTGTGCAGGGTTAAATTCATAATGCTGCGCCTACAAAGCTTAAAGTTGTCAATATATTAACTTCTGAGGTGGCTTTGCTATGAGCCTCGTGGTTTCTTTTGGAGGTCTCCCCACCGCTTTTTCGAATTCAGCATTGTTAATATAATTTCGTCTTTATTTACGCGGCAAAAAAAATTTGATTCTGCTGCTGATGATGACAATTATGAAAATAAAAGTTACATTCTTCAATTCGTAAATGCACACCGTATTTTTTTTTAATTTTCAGCTACACGCAAAAAGCATTATTCTATTGTAATGATATAGACCTAACATTTTTTAAGTTTGACATTAAATAAATGTCATCTCGATATTTTGTAACGGGAAGGTCACTTAATTGGTGTTGGGGGGCATAGAAAAGAGTACAGTGGTGTACGACCAGTGAAAAAATATCCATACGTATCATTATTGACATTAGACTTACTGGAGGGCTGGTCTCAGTAGCGTAGAGCTGATTAACAAATTCAGAGGCCTAAAAGAGAAAAAATTATCATTTAGGGTCGAAAAAAGGAACGTATGCAAGGAAAAAAAGCAAACATTTTGTGGAAACAAGGTCTCACTGCCAAAAGAAATCCCAGACAAGTGATGGGTGAAAAAAGGAGACCCTGGAAATGAGTGTGTCCCAACCCCTCCTACACCACTTTGAAATGGTCCACTCCAAAGGACAAAATATAATTTAAGGGCTTTGTTTCATAAACCAACCGAATACTTGTTTCTGCTCTTATAGCTACAATTCTAAGATTACAAGCCCCTAAGCAAGAGACGACCTGCGATTCCACGAGAAAAGCATAAACGGAATCATGCATTTTTTTAGGAAAGCCTCAGACACAGGAATTGTCACATACATCACCCCTTAATTTGTCCCTTAATCGAATTTCGGCACCGGTAAGGCATCACTTCTCCAGAGAATCGTTGCGCAATGACCCCCAAAATGGCTGTGCAAGGTTCTTAATTAATCAGACCTCTAATCTTAATACCTTTGTGTAACTATAGGCTATGAATCAAAACTTACCCTTAGTGGCTCCATGTCGTGATTGAGCCAAACAATAGACATGAAATTTTAATTCTCCTGAAAAAAAAAGGCTAATGAAAAAGAACATCAATTTCCCATAGCCTGCAAGCAGGCTCATGTTGGGGCACAAGCTTTGCGGTGTAACGGCGAGCTCGTAATGGAGCGGCGAAGCCGTGGGACGAGAAAGTAAGCGTACTCTGGTCTCTGCAATTTTTTTCAATTTCCACCCCGGAAACCGCAGAAACGAATAAGTCAATAATTTTTCACCCGCAAGTATGGACACAGATTTCTTGAGAAAATTGTTATTCTTTTTCATAACAGCATGTAGGCGCCATATCCGTTGTTGATAAACTTTTACCGAAGAAAAACTATCAACGTTTATCTCTACTAATGACACACACACTTGATCCAAGTGATCTTGCTTTGGCAATCTGGTCTTTTGCAATGCTGGTAAACGGACAAACGCCTTCGTGTTGTTTCATTGCCCGTCTGCAATCACATACGCTTGCAATATTTAATTCTTCCCATATGCAGTCGGCGACATGACAAGTATGCCTTGATTTATTAAAACAATTAAAACTGCTATTTCTGCTCCCCCTTTAGTGTAAAATTTAAGTACTAACACGCTGGAAGTTTGTTAAAACATCAGTAACACGCGCACTCAACTCTTCCTCTGGCCAAATGTCGACGACTTGCTTTGTTTTTTAATATGCGGTAAATTACTGACTCCCTAGGGGTTTAATCGCACTTCAGCAGATATAATATCGCCTTTCCCGCTTTTCGACCAATGGTATTACAATTCACTCGGACGAAGCAGAAATGAAAAAAATTACAGAGACCAGGGTCGGCTCACTTTCTTGGCGCCTCTTCACCAGACTCCTGCCTGCCGGATCGCTTTGCTCTTTTTGCTGCTAGTGCGTATAACTCAAAGGTGAGCCTGCTCGCAGGCTAATTTCCGACAACAGCAAAGCTTTGACGTACGCTTCTGTATCAGTGATAAAATGAGTAAGATAAAAAAATAATAATAATAAAACAATAAATAAAAAAGTTTTGCACACCAAAAGTATTGCGTTCAGGGGCAGACATTAAAACCCTTGCAATAGGCCACTGTATATTACTGAAACTAACCACCTCAAAAAGAAAGGCAAACCAAAACGTGTTCATGTCACTACCTTAAGGTGTAAATAGTCCTGGACTAGTCGCACGAAATTTGTTTCGCCTTTCATCTATCACACAAAGAGCTGTATATGAGTACCATTTGCACATACGTTTAAGCATTGCATATACTACCCTTGACAGAAACAAAACAGTAATACAATAATATGTTAACGACTTTGGAGCGAATTTGCTTGACAACTGACCGTGATTAATTTCATAAGAGTGATTAAAATGAAAACGGGTAATGTTCAAGGCCAATTATTCGGGAGAGCGGCAAAATATGCTCATCTTCACCCCCACCCACCCCTCCCCTTCCACAAAGAGAGATGCTGACCAATTCGTGTGCACATTACGACCTTTACAGTGTAAATAGTCGTGGAATAACTGAAAACAATTCGTTCCCCTTTGTATCTATCACACAAAGACACTATGCATGACGAGTACGGTTTGCAGCTGAGTTGAATCATTCCCATACACACTTAAAGAGGTACAAAACAGTAATACAATACCATGTCAACAAGTTTCGAGCGAATTCGATGAACAACCGAATGTAATTAAGTTAACGAGACAATTAATTCTTACGTCATGGACAAAGCGATTTAACTTTAATGGGTGACAAAAACGAGCCAAAACTTTGAGACAACGACAAAAAATGCACACATACTACTTGAGGCGAGCATTTCGGCAAAAGAAGTTAGACTGCAAATTATAATCGAGCAATTTCACCGTGCAGCAACGAAGGATGATTCCAGGAAAAACAAAAAAGATACTGCTCGAACTGATGATTTATATAAGCGATCGCATATCCCTTACTTTGGAAACGTTGTTCCCTGCATTAAAAACTCATTTTATATCTGTAAAGTATTATACATTGAAAACAACTTACTTCAATTCACGTCGTAAACCTTGCACGTCAATCCAGTTCCTGCCTCGTGGCATTCACTGACTAGTACTGCATGATAAACGTCACGCAAACGTCACGCCGAAGACGTCAATGCACTACACAGAAGTCCCACAGATCATAACTTTCTCTGCGGCATTTAGTTGAGTTCGTTGTAGTCTTGTTAATTTACACCTACTGTAAAAGCTCCATTAATCCCCCGGGGCTTAGTTAATAATGGGGAACTTATTAGAGAGGAGGGCGCAATAGAGAGAAGGAGGGGTTTATTTCAAATCTTAAACATACCGTTTTTGTCCCAGGTAGGTTTTTTTTTCCAAAGCTCAAACAACTGTAGTCTAAATTTATTACGTAATAACGAGTAGCAAACAGTGGTATGTGTTTGAGTGTATATTTCTGTAATAACAAACCAAATGGCTGCAGAAAAAAAAATGGCGAGGGGACATGTTAGATAGGGGCGCTTATTATAAAAGCCTACTTCCAAACAGCGGACTTATTAAAGAAGCGGGGTTAAACAGAGGGGGCTTTGCTAGAGCTTTTTTTACGGTATTGCACTATCTCAGGAGAGGAAAGTAAACCACATCGGTCGTTTATAATACGTGTTCTTTTTCTTTTTCAAAGCCCAATTACAAAATATAGTCTAGACAGAGTTGAACAAAACCATCGTCTCTATAGCTGAGTTTAAGTTATCTGAACAAGAACATTCTGTTATCACTTACTATGATTCAAAATAAAACGTGTATAGCAACCTTAAGACTAGGGCTATCACGATAAACAGATGATAGATTGTCGAGTGAGGCCAGCCTTTATTTACACAATTGTTTGACACATTTAGTAGCAGCGCGTTTAGGAGCGCGCCAATATCCTTACTAGTTTGGTCAGTGTTTTACAGTTATTCATCTGATTCATAACTCACGAGACTGAGATTTAAGCTGGCACCTTTTGTAGATTTCCTTTAAAAATATATACTTGTCTGCTGGGGGATGTGTAGGTCTTAGATTCATCGATCTTTGCGGAGTTGACAAAGCGACATGTTAAATATAGTGTGTGGGTCAGTTCGAAAATTAAGGAGTGCGCCAAGGTTAATTCATGATCTTCAATTTATTTTTCACAATTATAACAACACTTTCCCTAAAACAATATTACTGTAATCATCAGGCGACACAATGAGGCCTGAAGTGGAATTTTTCAGTCACCTGTCCATATACCTCTATATGCAAAGCACATCGAGTTTATAAACCACCTTTTTTCGGTACTGGTTCCTTTTTGTTGTAACCAACAAATCTGAAAATTAAACCACCCGTTGCTATTGCAGTATTGTACAGTTAGATAGTATCATTTATTCCTGCCTCTCCAAAAATTGCGGTGAAATGATCATTTGTATCATCTAGCAAATAGGGAACTTTAGTGACTTTTGCCATTTTCTGACATTGGTTCCTTCAAATCTTCATAAAAAAATAACGGATGGTGATTCTGTTGTCAAATTTGCTTTGTTATATTGCCAAATGATTGCTTTAATTGCTGTATGATTTTGAGCTCAATCAATGAAAATTAAATAGCGATTTTTATTGTCCGAACTTAGGAAACGAAAAAAGGGCATATTTCGAATTCTGAAACCTTTCATCGACATGAAAAGTCAAACACATACACGGCAGATTTTTAAAGCCGCAGATATCTCAGATTTAAAAGGTTGTGGTGATCGAGAGAATTGAGTGGCGCATAAATGGTAAGTCAATAGCTCCCTCTTGACCAACAAATTGGATTTAAAGCTTTTGAATTGGCTGATACCACGGCATAGGGCACTTTCGTGCCCTCTTAAGCACAAATAGTGATCTGTTTAAGTCAGGATTAGATGGTATTGGCGAACCTCTCGCATGCAGAAAGGTTAGATCATGACGCTTTGTTAGATGGCTTGTCAAAAGTTACCACACAAAAAGGCTTGATCTATCATCAAAAGAGGGAAACGTCAGAAAAGTGCCCTAATATTCTTCTAGAGGGAGAGAGAGAGCGAGAGAGAGAGAGAGAGAGAGAGAGAGAGAGAGAGAGAGATTGAAGGGCACTTTTGCAACATCAAATAGGGCACTTTTGCAACATTAGGGCACTTTTGCAACATTGCATGGGGCACTTATGCAACATAGGGCATTTCTGCAACATGACATAGGGCACTTTCGTCACAGTAGGGCATTTTTGCAACGTGACATAGGGCACTTTCGCCACAGTAGGGCATTTTTGCAACGGGCACTTTTGCAACGTAAACAACAGGGGCTTATATATGTTATATTTGTTATACCTTGTAATAATAGTATATTTTCATTCCCTTGATTCCGGCATACATCTTTAAAAACTAATTTTTAACTTTAAAAAAAGCGACTAAGAAAAACCTAGTGAAGTCCTCGAGCCGTTTCGGTATACCGTTGGTCTTACTTTGTGCTTCGGAAAGTCTTACTTTCTTCCTTACAGGGGATGGCGACATAGAGTTTGCTTGGCTATATGCCGATAAGAACAAAACGGGGGGCCTTAAACATGTTCCATGACAGTCAGTTTCCATTATTTAAGGGTGCTGTACACTTTCAATCGTCGATTCTTGCAAATGTTTTCAGCTAATTTATTACCGTAAATCATCTATTAACCCCCCGGTAGGCATATTTATTCCAAGCACTTTTGAGGTGGGAAGAGGGGCTTATTTGAGAGGGGGGATTATTCAATTTAGCGAAACGCATTACCGCCAGCGAGGTTCCTCGAGGGCCAATATATGGTTCCAGGGCGCCATACTGCTTTTTCAAACAACCAGAATTTGGTATCAATTCTCCAGAAAGAACTAGAACGCAAAGTGGAAAAGCTCGAGCATATGAAGTTGGAGGTTATGCCGCCGAAGATCAAAGGCAAATCCCAATTTCCAAAACGCGAATAGACCATATCGGATCAGCCGACATAAAGTGTTGACAGTCGTGGAGGGGGGCTTATTTGAGAGGGGGTCTTAAAAGAGGATTTACGGTATCTGCAGTTTGAAGTACAAAGCAGTACAAACCAATCACTGACGGTAATCGTATCTCGGACTCCCATTTTTTTGTAACGGAATCTTCGGTTGACGTAACAATCGTTTCGGACACTTCTTGGACTTCTTTTATCGGTACGGAAAGGTTCAAAAATCTGCGCTGGGTGTTATATATTTTTCAAAGGCATTATCTAAAGGACCCATATTGTTTTACAAAGTAACGAACTCAACAGGGGCTACCAAACTTAAATCGGCCAGACACGGGTCATGCGCATAAGAAAGGAGTTTGACTTTGTTTCAAAAACGAAACTTTCTTTAAATTTTAAAGTGTCCCCCGTGGCTTTGGTTGAGTTGGTAGCACTGTATTATGTTTTGAAGGGAAGGTCAGGTGATGCCTTCATAATTAATGTAAACTAATAAGTAAACAGTAAATAACAGGACACGTGCTTACTGGTATTTAATCACAGGTACAGGTATTCTAAAATATAAACTGCAGTGTTCGTGCTAACCTCAGAACGAGAACGGTTTGGAATGCTTATTGACGAAATTCCTGTTTGATTGATTTTGTTTCTATATGTTCTATAGTTGAAAATAGTCCATTAAACGTGCATAATCGAAATGAGGTTTAAACAGAATTACGCTTATTCCAAATCTCCTACATTCTACTCGCCATTGATGCTAAAACTGTCAGACAGCAAACATTAAAAATGAATAAATAAATAAAAATAAACTCAGAGCGACTTTTACCTTGATTATGTTTTAAAATCAATCACTGCAAATAGTTAACTTCAAATTGGCATACAAAGTTCTTTCGCTAATCTTAAAAAGTTCCTGCCTACATTGCACTTTTATATTTGGAAGTTAAAAATACAGCTACGGCCACGGCAGTGAAAACGTCCTTTCTAAATGAAATCTGTGTTCTTTTAAAAGTTACTCACTATTATTTCAACACACTCAATTTATCACATGTAGGTGAATTCACATGGGTTAAATTTAGGACCACGATTTCAGTTCCGAAGGAGACACAAGACTTTCGTGTGTTTTCCTCTTTCAGAAATTTTGGCATAAGGAAGTTTCACATCCTTGTTCAGGGTAGTGAAGGTCGAGAAATATTTCAAAAAATGTGACGCAAGTCCAAAATCCGTTTTTCTTATCAAACCTATTCAGGGAATGAATAATGTTTGCATTGCCGTTGCTGTCATGGCACCTTAAACTACCTGGCCAACCCCGCTAAAGCGTTAAGTGATATTTTCCTTTAAAGCGCTGACTGAAACGGAATATAGTCTACTCAAAACTTAAGATCACTTACTAGTTTAAAATCCTACTAAAAGCGAAAATAACTTACATCATTAGAGATGTTTTCCGGTGCGTTTTCCGATCACAAACAGAGAATGATACAAGTGCAAATGTTGTATGTCACAAAGAAATACTTGGCTTCACTGGTAATGTTTAGTAATGTTGTTTGACTCTCTACGAGACGGAAACTTCTTTAAGAAGGACACCTAGAAAAGGTCCCTGTCTCTCTTTAGTGATGTATTTTTACTCTCTCTAAGACGGTTACTTCGTGTCATTTCTAGTGGTGTCCGTCTTAGAAAGAGTTGTCTGTAAACCGAAATGTGTAGTAACCGTTTCGGCAGCACTTTTTAAACTTTTCGTCTTTGAGGCCAAAAGAAAAAAGTGAATTTTTTTGTTAGCTACCTAGTTCTCCCAAAGACAAGAAAGTTGTACTCGAACTATATTCAAGTGATGTAACTACACAACACTGTTATAATCTTACTGCTTGTGAGTGAAAGTTGGTTTATGATCATGGTAGTAACGACAGTATATAAACTATTCATCCAGATTTGTTTTCCGCTGGTTTATTTAAAAGGGACCTTAATCAACGAAATCGAGTGTTTTCCTTTCTTGAGCGTTTGTATTTCTCACAAATCTTTCGTGATCTTATCTTCGTTTGTCTTCTACTTTTGCACGATGTGAGGGCCATCTGTTTGTAATTTAAAGTAAAAATACATTGTAAACTGATTACCAGACCGTTTATTCATTAGAAAGAAAAAGGATCACCTTTTAGGCCAATGTGGAAATTTGCACCATGTGACCAACCGTTTGCCGTAAACGTGTGCTCAATCACTGTAACGTTAAGAAAACATCATCACCGTGGTGACTACTTATAAATCAGTGCGCCAGGTGAGCTGAAAACAAATCCGGATTTCAATTTTAAACCAGGTACCACTTAATATTACTATAAGTACCTGTCAAAGCCTTGCTTTTTTTCAAAATACGGCGACAGGTCTTTCCAGCTGCCCCATCATAGGGTCAACCCCGAAATGGTGCTCACTTATTTCGAAGTAACCTTCTTTCGTATTTTAAACGATTGATAATTTGTTTTATGGTAAACTGACGTAAAATGTGTTTACCAAAGTCTTCTTTCTCAAGTAACTCCTTCGTCGCTTTTTGTGAGATTACGCCACATCTTACGATGCCACCACACACTTTGAGAAGGCACTTTCTCTGCTCATCACTGAAGATATTATGGCTCACATAGCTTGAATTTGAGGGAGGTTCAAAGGATACACTACTTTCATCATTTGAAAAGAATCGGTCTATCTTGTCAGTCAGAGAGTCGCTCTCTTTGGGCAATTCAGCCGAAGGTTGCTCGTCAGCCGCATTGATGTTGTCGCTATACCGCCACTCGCTTCGAATCTTATCATAAACCCTTCTCGGGCTGAGATCAGAGAGGGTAGGATGGCCTTCAGTCTTGTTCTTAACAGCTGCCATGGTTACTGATTTCGATTCAATTTCTTTGGCAAAGACCTGTTTTAAGGCAATCACTTCTTCCTCTTTCCACTCTATACGTTCCTTGAAACTTTCAACAGCGGTGTTTTTGTCGCCAACTGTCCCTGAAGCACCATCATCAGATTTCGTGCCGGCTGCTTCAGGCTGGTTCTCCATTTCTTTCTGGTTAGACAATCTCATAATGCGAGGAAGATTGGATGCAGCTTGTAGACATGCTTCTTCCTTTTCCTTAAGGCGATAAAATCTCTGTGCGGTGGTCTCTTTATGCGCCATAAGGTCGGCCAAATCTGATCTCAACTCGTTATGCCGCGCGTGCACATTCGTGACAGCAGACTTGCGAAACAAAGTTGACGAGATGTGCCCTTGCATTCCGCCTTTTCCCCACGCTGCATTTATAGCAGTGCAGATTTGGCCTGACTCCATCTTTGCCCCATTCCAAGACAAAAATACGTAAGCTTTGTCACTCTCATTCTCATTACTGGTGGAATCCAACACCCTGCTTCGCACTTCATTGAAGTACACTTGTAAATACGAAAATAGGGTTGGCGACAACACCACGCGCGCTGGGCCGTGAGTGTCCGCTGTTTTGTGCTTCTTGACACTTATGACGATGCTATCCTGCTTTTCCTTTGCAGCCTTAAATTCGCTAACTGTCATATTAGCTAACACACCAGATCGGTGTGCATTTGCAATGGTAATTTCAAGGAGTAGAAAATCTCTGATAAGAGTGTACACGGCTTGGTTTACAACCAGTGAATGCGCTCCAGTGAGTTGTTCTATGTATCCGACAACGCTCCGTGCCGACTCACTCCGTTCAAACTCATTGATCATATCAGGGGTTACTAGGTTGTTGAGGTCCTTGTTCATCTTCTCCAGATGCCTCCGTTTGCTATCCTTTTTGTAAGACATGGACCAAAGACGTGCTTTCTCTGCAATTTGGCTGACAAGGGCAGGATCAACATCTACACACTTAGGTTTCTCTGATGTCACGTACGAACAGAAATGCCTCAAACTGAGAAGATACGCCTTAATGGTATCAGCGGTATACTTCGTTTCTGCATGCTTTAAAAAAATGTCCCGAAGAAGACTCTTTCTAAACAAAGACCTCAAGTTCTTTGTTGGGTCAATTACTTCCAGAATACGGGACAACTGGGAGGCATGTTGTTTGGATAGCTTAGTATCCTTTTTACCGCCATCTGCAGACTGCAACCAACTGCAAAAGGAGAACATCACATCGAGCTGTTCTTCCTCATTTGAGAAATCAACATCTTCTGCCAATTCCATAATTTCTAGCTCTTCGTTATTTGACGGTACGTCGGGAGGATCAGTGTTATTTGTCATCTCTACCTCTTTTTCAGACTGATCCGAAGGGGAGTGCAATGTATCCATCTCTGAACGAGAACATTTAGCTTTTTTCGAAGGTATCCACGTTTTCGAAGCACCAGCTTCTTTCAAAGTTTTTTTGTACAAAGGTGACCCAACCGGGATGTCCCTATGCACTTGCCGTAAATGAGCGGACAAGCGCTTTACCACTGACTTGCAACCCTCAATCGGACATGGACGGTGTCGGTGATAGTCTTTATGTATATTTTTGCTGTCATCGGATTCGGGCTTCTTCTTGACAGGTTTTGGCAGGAAACTTTTTCTCATCCCATATCGTGATGTTGCCTTTCTTGACATTTCTTTGCTCCAACCATGAACACCCCTTAAGTGTCGAGGGAGGTCTACCACCTCTGCTTCACACCCTTTTATTGGACACTTGCGCAACGGCCTTTTGCCCTGCGCAGTTTTTGCGTTAGGATTTTTGGAATTTTTTTGGCCGCCTCCTCCACTGCCCTTCAGTTCACCGTCAGATTTGTTCACCATCTCATCAGGTTCTCTCATATCTTCATCTTCATCTGGGCTATCTCTCAATAGACAGGTGCGCCCGGGTCTTTTCGTCGGCACAGTCTTAGCCTTCGGTTTTATACCGTTTTTTCCTCCGTCTTGTTCATTCATCTTCCTTTCATCATCATGTATCCTCACCACCTCATCAAGTTCTCTGTCTTCTTCATGTTCTTTATCCACGCCATCTCCCTCTGACCACCCATCAGAACTACTTGAATAATCGTCATTTTCAATGTCTTGCTCACTTCCACTTGAATAATAGCTTTCCCTCTCTAAGTCGCTATCAATTTCCACTTCCTTGAGTTCCTTACATGCCCCTGCCCAAGCATTCCTAGTGTTCTCCAGTTCCCTTCTGCGCTGTAATTTGGGGAAAACAAAATGTGAAATCTGTTAGAAATCAACTTGAAAACGTAAAAGGTTCAAGACAGCAAATGGTTGTTTTGCCCGCCAATCAACACTACGGTTATTCTCCTATTTGTCCTATGGTGCGTTTTGCCCTCGGTGGAAGAGCCTCAAAGCAGTAAATAAGAGCATGACAATTGACAGAAACCTATCACCGGGTATCGATAATCTTCTCCACCTGAACTCGCTATGGGAATTTCCTGTAGGTCTAACCATATTATTTCTGATTTTTTAAAAATCTTTGATTATTCAGTGTTTTCCAGTCATGGAAAATCACTTTTACCACTGCTGCAGGAGCTTACAGAAGACCAGGTGACGTACAAGGGGGGGGGGGGGGGGGGGGGGAGGCC